GAGAACACTGCACTAAAAATATCACCAAACTTTGCCTGTGTTCACCCTTGTTGTTTTTGTTGTTGACTACTATATAGAGTATTCAGTGTTTTGCTCTGGTTGAGAAAAATATGCATCCCACAGGGACAGTAACATTCATTGCAGATATGCATTCATGTAGGTAACCCAGGTAACAACATCTGGAAATGTGATTACATATACATGTACAGTCAAACCTGTGTATAACAATTTTTTTTTTAGACAGGTGGTCTTTATATAGACTATAATAGTGGTTGATTAATTCATTTTTTGAATAAAAATGTGACATTTATCAGTTTGTAGAGTAATCTGTCGGGTATTTGAAAATGGAAAATAAATAAATATACATTGTTTGTCTTGATTAACTTAAAAATGTCAGTGTAGAGACTAGTATAAAAGACGATGCATGCAATCATCTGACCTTTGTACACTTGTTTATTTGACCAAACTTGTGCCAAAATGATGGTCACTGGTCATATCAGACAGGTGGTCTTACAGCATGTAAATTGCACTAGGATTCTACAGTGACAACTGCACCACAACCAAACACTAGTATTATGGTATCTGCTTTGCATTTGCTCAATGTCACTGGAATACTGTTATGTTTAATTCAAGTGTACTCAAAGTTCACAACTAGTTGTTCCTTTACCCCATGAGCAAACGGATCTCTGCTATCCCACCATTCACAGAAAACTGTTGAATGTTTCCTTTCCACAGGCATGGGTGACATTGAAGGTTTGATTGACAAGGTCAGTGAACTCAACCTAGATGACAATGAAGAACTTATTAACAAACTCAAACACGGTAAGAAAAGAGTCCAGGTCTAATTTGCAAACTCAATAATTTTCTTTCTCTGTCTTACTTGTGATATTTTGCTTTGAGCTCTCATTCCACTATCAGCTTGATGTGAAGAATGACATTACATTCTTTCATATGACCACTTCCTAGTGTTTCAACTGCCAAGTGAGCTTTCCATTCATAACATAGCTCTGTGGAGTATATTGTTTCATGTTAGTCAAAAACTCTACTTTCTATTTTATATAATGCCTATTCTATATGCATTTTTTGTGGTAGATGACCAAGGGGTAGCTTAACTATTTCTTTTTAACATATTGCATGTGTAATAAATAGAGAATGTACTTATACATAATGTGCCAGCTTTGAAAAAAAAGATGATCTGGCAAATCACTATCTCTCTAATACTTATGGTTTTTCTTGCAAAATTGTAATATTTATAGGTACATTGACATCTGTAATATTTATAGGTACATTGACATCTGTAATATTTATAGGTACATTGACATCTGTAATATTTATAGGTACATTGACATCTGTAATATTTATAGGTACATTGACATCTGTAATATTTATAGGTACATTGACATCTGTAATATTTATAGGTACATTGACATCTGTAATATTTATAGGTACATTGACATCTGTAATATTTATAGGTACATTGACATCTGTAATATTTATAGGTACATTGACATCTGTAATATTTATAGGTACATTGACATCTGTAATATTTATAGGTACATTGACATCTGTAATATTTATAGGTACATTGACATCTGTAATATTTATAGGTACATTGACATCTGTAATATTTATAGGTACATTGACATCTGTAATATTTATAGGTACATTGACATCTGTAATATTTATAGGTACATTGACATCTGTAATATTTATAGGTACATTGACATCTGTAATATTTATAGGAACATCTGTTATGATTTTGTTTTCAATTGTTTGAAATAAACAACATCATTTGCATACTGAACATTCTACTATACTGCGATTTAACGAAATTGCTAAAATTTCTTCACTATCTTCATATTTTATGTAATTCTAGAAATCGGGCTTACTTTCAAGTCCAAAACTAACTAATTTACAACTTTCCTTGAAAAGGGA